TATTTATTATCTATAAAGATATTTGAAAGCATTTTATCAATAGGAGCATCATGATGTCTATCGTGATGTTCAAACTGACCATGTAACTTGCTGAAGGTCACACAGCAAGTAACAGTTAGTGCTAAACAAAAATCCAGGTCTTATTCTAATGCAGGGTACAGCCTCAACTGGCCCAGCCAGAGGCAAAGGCTAGAGGTAGCTTTCTACCCTACTGCTGCCACCGATACAGCATACGAGCAACTACCATTTCGGTTCCTTCTGCCTCTGGGGTGGGCTTCATCTTTAAAACTGCCACTCCCAAGGGAACATGTTAGAGAGTACTGAATGCCGTTTCCCTGCGAGTCTTCCAAAATCAGAACAAATTAGGACAATTACATAACTTTTCTTAAATTGGACAAGAACAGAGGGGCAATTGTACTTTTTGAAATTTGGCCTGGGCACCCGTGTGAATAGTCTTAGATACACAAATCTTTAATAATCTGAAAAAAAGAGAGCATTATTATTTTGAGGACTAAGAGGAAGGAGATTAGGTCCAGGCCTGTAAATAACATTATATTAATCTCAAAGACAATTAATTATGAATTGTAGCTGTAATTTCAGAGTCACAGCAGGAAGCTGAATTACACAAAGGATGAATTCTAATGGAGCCAGTAGGCATTCTGCATTCCATCTACACATATTTTTGCACTAAATTATATCCTAGTCATAGTGAAGCCATCTAAATGTGCACATCTATAAATCAGTTGGGTCAGACTGAAATCATAAAACATCAGAATAATTTTCAGGCTTACTTTTGGAACAGTGCTAATTCTTATTACTTTCCTTTGTAAGTAAATTTGCAGTAAATTTTCCCATTGTTTCTATATTAACTATTAAATCAGTAAAATCCTGGAAATGAAACATACCTGGTGGGGCCACCATTCTCTGCCATTTTTGAAACAAGCAAGTCTTCAAGCAGTCTCGAGGACTTAGATTGTAAGTTTTATGTCTTGACATCAGTTCCTGCATTGGCTCCAGTATTACACACAACTGGAAGAAAAAGTCAGAACAGAATGACTTCATCCAAGCAAAGACTCAGCTGATCAGTATTTACATAGCTGGAAAGTATATTCTTGGATTTTTTTTTTTTTAACCCTTGCTAACAGAGTATGCCTTGTACAGCTCAGTTTAATCTGCACTGGGATTGCAGGATCAAAACTCTGAACTGAGAAAACTTTTGCTCACTATTTGCTATCTTAAGTATTTAAAAAAATACCAGGTAAACTTCAACTCTGGTCTTCCAGACTACAGAGATTTCAGAAAAGTAGAAAATTTTCATGCTTGATTGCCAAAGCTGCAAAGGTGAAATGATAAATAATAAAATGCCCATAGTGGGTTATCATTCCCATATAGCAAAATGTACACACAGTGATCTTCTGACCTGCTGCATTCCACAATGAAGACTTCTCATAAATGAGGGTTGTAAACATGATATTTTGCCTTGCTATTGCATGCAAAATAATTAAAATAATTTTGTTCCTTTCTTGTTATGAGGACTATATATTCTCTTCCCATCATATGAATGACACGTCCAGGAAAAAAGAGAAGCATTTTATTTTCCTCATCAGCTTGAATGCTCTATTATGTCGAAGCTGGAGATTTCTGGAAACACAGAATTTCAAGCAAACCTCTTCTTTAAATAGTCTTATATATTTTCTATCTGTTCACTTAGTAATTAAAATCACTGTTCGCCGCTTTTTGCTCCTGTTAGCACAACAGATCTAGCATAAAGAACACAGTGAGCTGGTTTCTATTCCCTCCTGTTTATCACCACAGAATCGTTTCCAGTCGGTTAAACCTTACGCAAAGCCACAGAAGACTACAGAATTGCACACATGTAATTGAGAGCTTACTCTTGCTTGCAGGATCCTTGTTTTTCTGGTCATCCTACATGAGAAGAAAAAATCCAGGTTGACCCCTACGCTCCACCTGAATTTGCAGGGCTGGCACATGAGAAGAAAAGGTGCCTTACTTGTTAACTGAGCACATTTGATAAGGAAATAGCTGACACAGAATAAACATGGAGCCTGCATGCCATTTTTAGTCCCTTTCCAAAGCAGAACTGCATTTAGAAGCAGAGGAAGGTTTGGCTTTTTTTACCAACAGCAGTAAGGCAACAAGTTGGTCAAATTATTAGAAGTTAGAATGGCAACTGCAGAAAGGCATAACTTGAGTCTTGTTTTGAGTTATTTACTTAATTTTGTCAGGTATTGCTTGGATTTACTTCACCGGGCAATGTTTTCCTTCCATGCTTTAACAAATATATAAGGCATGAGACAAATTCTTCTCGCTGGGCTGCACAGCCGATCAATGTTTGCTCCATTTTCGCTGTGTGCACCCCAATCTCATTCATATAAATGGAGATGCCAAGTATGCAGGGAAAATAGCTGAAAGGGAGCTGCCATGAGGACTAAGAGATTAATTCAGCATTTAAATATTATTGCATATTGGCACTGCCTTTTGATGAGCCTTTCATTAACAGCAGTTAAAACAGAGATAACATAAAGCAGCAGGGAGAATGAAGAGCTTCAGTATGAGGAATTATATTTTTCCAACTGCAGAAATTGAATCTGCAGTTGCCTCATTGACTTTTTTCTTACGTAGACTTTTTACATGTATTTTTGTAGATAAATATCTGCAAAGTAATCTAATAGACAGAGAGTTGCTATCAGATTGTGCACTTTGGGCTCAGATTTTCCTCTGGTTCAATATTCTACCAAAAATTAAGAGCATCAGGTCCTAAAGTATGTGCCGGATCCTGTTTATGCTGTGAGAGAGGTGTTGTATTTTAAGTTCTTATTCAATTTATTCTGAAACCTGCAGGCACTTGCTCAGGTTTTGTGTGTGTTTGTGTGAGAGAGATCCGTGATCATAATCGACACCGTTGCTTTGGTTCTCAAAAGTCTGGGTTTCTGGCAGGGCTGCCTAAATTGTCTCATTATGAGCAGATAGTAAATAGCATGAAGAAGATAGCTGTGATAATTCTTAACAAACTAGTTAGCCTGGGCAGAGCACTACACTCACATAGCTCTATTGCTGCTGGGACTAAAATTATGTAAATATACATGTAGGGTCTTCCAAGATTTCCTTAGGGACACTTTATTCATGACACATTTACTCCTCCGTATATATTTATTGTTGGCAACAAAGAGAATGTTTCTTCTTTATCATCTGGCAAAGATGTTTCCTATTGTGCACTAACCGTAATGTGCACTGAGGAGAACTACGCAGTCCCTGCTGCCTGTAGATATCTTGACTGCTAATCCTGTCTATAATCTCTTTCACTTCACACACAAGATTGAAACTGGATATGGACCCAAAATGTAGCAATGCCTGACTGTTCTCACACACACGGACTCAAAATCACAAGCACCGGGGCCCCTATACTGGGACATGGGACAGTCTTATCTCCCGGGTATCCGGGAGCTGTATGGACTTGCGTGAATTCCTCTTCTGGTTCTGGGACTGGGAAATTCTCAACCATTTTATCCCTCGAAAGTCTGAAAATTGTAAGGACAGCTTTGGATGCCTGAGTAATAGGAGAGCATTGCACTCTGTAGTAACAAGTCCATCTTAAATGCATCTAGCTCATGTGAATTGGGCACAAATGTAAAATGAACTGGACTAACGATGATTGATATTAAATCTCACAGCCTTTTTCAGTGACTTTTGAGACCTACTTGAAATCTAAAGTGACTCAAAACCAAATGCCTGAAAGAGGAGAAGATCGTGGTCCAGTTATCTTCAGTCTGAGGAACCTGCCACTGACAATCAGTAGCTTGGTTTTTGCAAAGAGCTAGATTGAAAATGTGGGGACAAGATGCATTTAAAAGCTAGGTTGGCCAAAACCACCTGCTGTCTTTAACTGCTAGGGAGCAGGGTAACTGGCAGGCTGGTTTGACTGCATCATTTTACAAAGTGACTTCTTAAAACAAAGCTAACAAAATGTTATACATACTCCTACATTCATTGGCATATAGAAGAAGCCTGAGGCTTAGACTGCCTATTCCCCACAGATCACCTAATCTCACTCTGTGAGATTCCTTTTCAAAACATCTATTTTAACGTTTTTTCAAGCACTGGATAATATTAAAATGTACAAGTCTTTACTGTAGTACTATAATAATAATATTTGGAACACCAACAGAACTGATCTCTTCTACAAGCATTTTCTGCACAGCTCAGAATCAGTCACCCAGGAAAATACCCTAAAGACTTAAAGACTTTAGTGCAGTGACGAGGTATGATCACAGAAATAATTTTTACATTTCTAGGGACCCAGAACCTTTAATGGCAATGCTTGACAAAATGCAGTTAGACATTTCCAAGCTCCATGTTTAGGCAACACAAAAGGTGGGACTCATTTGCCTGCACATAGGTGTCTAGCACCAGCTGAAATGCCCTGGGTTATCCTGGATCTGATCCATCTGATCTCTCTTGCTGTCCCACATGACATAAGGCTCCATGTGGATGTTTCAGGCACTAGAAGGTGTCTTAAGTATGTAGGCAATTGAATGAAGCCCAAAGTTAAAAGAAAAATTATGCTGCTTTCAGCTTTTAAGACATATTTGGAAGAACGTGTATCATAACAGGTTATATACTTTCCCTCTGCAGTACTAAAACCTACTGAAAGAATTCCACATGATGCTTACTAACCCAGTATTATTAGAATTAGTTTCCAGTCATGTTTTCTTATTTGAACTCATCACAGTGATGTCTGACCATTACTGCTGAA